TAATGACTTAAACCGACAGTGATAGAAATGGGGTGTGAGCCCAGGTCTGCCCAGGTGGAAAACCAGCTCTGATCCTTTACCTTATGATGAGACCACCACAGCCCAGGAGGAAAAGGTGGGCATAGGGGAATCCAGCTTTACAATGGAGTGTCTTACTCCCAGGCTGATCCGGAGTTAGTGACTGTCCTGATGGAAATGCCTGAATGAAAACCGTCTTTGGAGGTTAAACTGCAGAACTCCACGGAGTGATTGTGCAGAACTGTTTAAGAAGCAAAGTCATTTGGCTGCCTTTCTGATCCCCGGTGAGAACGCACCAGATGAGTCATAACTCAGCCACAATTGCTCAATTCCAAAGCAGGGCCAGACAATACGGGAAAGCGGAGCGGGCTCCAGGGAGCCCACACGGCTGCACGCTTTCTTGACTTCTACCCGTGCCGCGGGTGGGTTTCCCCCTGAGGCAGTGTTTGAGTAATCAAGTGTGAGCATGTCACCGAGTGCACAACAGATTGTGTAATTTAATCACTTGCCCCTTGAAAACCAAACAGCAGGAAACAGGAGAAGAAGTGCTCACTCAGATGCATGTTACGTGAGCCCCTATGGGGAGGGCAACGCTGGGATTTCCAAACTGGAATTTTTTTTAGCAAAATGCTCATCTTCATACACACACATGGAGATGTTTTACAGCCAGGGGATGGCTCAGTGGGTCACAAAGATGCATTACAAGCAGGGACTCAGTGGGCAAAGTGTCTGCCACAAAGTGTGACATCCTATGTCTGGATCCCCAGAACCCACGAAAAGCCTGGCATGGTGGTGTGTATCTGTAATCCCTGTGCTCTTATGGTGGGATGGGAGATAGAGATGGCGGAATCCCCAGAATCAGGACCAGCACAGGAAGCAGTAAAGCACAAAGAGAGCCTGCCTGCAGAGGGCAGGAAGCGAAGAACAACCTCCGAAGTTATTCTCCAACCTCCCCACACAGCCGTGGCATGCGCATGTCTGCACGCCAGCACTAGGTTCCCAGATTACCAAGAAGAAATGAAAATAATGCTTAAGAGAGTCCATGTCGGGGGACTGGCAAACAGTTCTTGTCAGGGGAGGGCTAGATGGCAAACACTTTCAGCGTTGTGGCCCCACAGTCACAACTAATAACCTCTGCTGATGGAGTGCCAATGCAGCCAGTGAGAGCACATGAATGAGCAGGGCACTGCGTTCTCCCACGGCTTGATTTATGAATGCTGAAACACAAATCTCCTACGGATTCTTCACGTTGGAAGCGTTGGCTGGTCCCTGCTCTGTGTCTTGGAGGGACAGCTTAAGTAAGGAGGGCACTCCTTGCAAGGGCCTGCTCTTGGCTTCCTACTCGCAATCTCAAGGTAAAAGGCAATGGGCGACACAGAACTCCCCGGGCTCACAGAATCCTGAGCCGCTCCTTAACACGTGTTCATCCCTCTCTTCAGGGAAGAAAAGAGTGGGCTCAAACTATGTGAGGTTCCACTCACTCCATGCCAACATTGTACAAATTATCATCCCTTATCCATGGGGGATACATTCCTACATACGTGGTGGATGCCTGCGACCATGATGAGTACTGGACCCTACAGACTGGATACCCTGTGGCTACTGCATTACTAGTAGGTGGGTAATACATGCAGTGTGGATACAGGCACAAAGAGATGATTCACACTCCTGCACGGCAGAGCAGGCTAGCATCAAATTTCATCATGTTCCTGGGAACAGCCCACAATTCCCAACTTACGAAGCATGTAATCCTGGAATTTTCCGTGTAATATTTTTGGATCATGGTCAGATGTGGCGACTGAAACCATGCAAAGTAAAACCATGGGGCAGGGGGCTCTATCTACCATGTGATCTTTGAGACTAACCACAGACAGCTATAGGGCTTTCCTGGAAGGCCCTGTGGGAGGGGCTGTTCCTTCAGGGTCAGCTTCCCAGGAGGAGTCGTTAAGGGCAAAGACTCAGGCCTTCTGCACTGGGCAGCCATCCTCACATGCAGATCTGCATGCCTAGCCTGGCTGCTCACTTCTGAAGGCCTCCCTGTTGGGGTACCTTGGCTGAGGTACTTTCCTCTACTTGGCTTCAGAACCTTCTGTTCCTAACCTCCTCTAGTTCTCCATTCCTGGCTCATGGTCCATAAGGTGCAGGAGTGTCTTCCTGAGGTCCTCTTGGCTATGAGAAGACTCCGACCATCTAGGCTATAGCCACACACCCCTCACATATCCCCTTTGGGGGTAAAAATGGCAGGCACCTCTTTTTGCTGGCACTGCTAAGTCAATAAAGACTCAGTGGACTGGGGATGACTCAGTTGGCAAAGTGCTTGCTATACAAGCTTAAAGACGTGAGTTTGATCCCCAGCACCCACGTAAAAACTGTGTGTGTTGGTGTACACCTGTGATCTCAGGACTGGGGAGGTGCAGACAGAAGATCTCTGGGGTTACTGGGCAAACCAGTGAGCTCTAGGTTATGTCTCAAAATATGAAGTAGAAGGGCTGGAAAAACGGCTCAATAGCTAAGGGCACTGGGAACATGGGCTCAATTCCCAGCACCCACACAGTGTCTCACCACCTTCTGTAACTCCAGTTCCAGGAGATCCAAAGCCCTCTTCTGTCCTCCAAGGGCACCAGTCCCACATGGGGTGCATCTTTGCAGTCAAAACACCATACACATAAAATAAAAATAATTAAAAAAAAAAAGGTGGGAAGTAATTGAGAAAACATCCAGTGTCAACCTCTGGTTTCCATACGCGCTCTCACCCACACATGCACATGCAACAGACACAAACGCACACACACATACACAAAGAAAAAAAAAGGAGCAATTGCTGCTTCCAGTGTGGCAACTTCTAATTGTCCAGCCTGAGACATGATTGCTTAAGAGCTTGGAGCTGGTAACCAGGCAACATGCTTGAACTAAATAAAACAATCTCGTTTCCGTGACTTTCTCTTTATCCTGAACTCTTACTCCATAGGGCGGCAAAAGGCACAGGAGTTCTGAGAGTATTTTTTAGCCTTCAAAGTCCCCACGCACCACAGCACTTGAAGCACTGCACGCTGGGAAGCATGTGTCTGCTTTGAAGAGCACACTTACATCCCGGATTGCTTCGTAAAGGGCTCGGAAAGTGGGCTGCTTATCGTCATGGTAGACGCCGCGGTTGCCGTGCAGAACAGACACACCTTCCCGCTCCGCCTCTTTGCAGTTGCTTCCGTACATGCAGTGATCGGGGCGGTAGTTCCACTGGCAGGGGAACACGTAGAGACACTCTAGGGGCAGAGGAAGAGACACAGCTGCAGTCAGTGCCAGCTGTCACCTGTATGTCCGGTGCTTAAAACTTAATGTTTGTAAACCACACCCTGTGCACAATTTCAAGGTTTAGGAGTGTGGTTATGAATCCCAGGCCAAATAAATATACCACATGTGCTGAAATGCTGAGATCAATGATGGGAGAGGAGGGGCACCCATTAATGATAATATGGGAAGGCAGAACAATATCTAAAATAAGGAGTTAAACATCAATAGCCTAGTGTCCCAGCTTGCTCCTCTGTTGCTGTGACAAACACCAGGACCAAAATCAACTTGGAGAGGAAAGGGTTTACTTCATATCAGCTTCCTGGTAACAGTTTGTCACTGAGGAAAGTCGGAGCAGGAGCTCAAGGCAGGAACCTGGCGGCAGGCACAGAAGCCATGGAGGAGTGCTGCTTACGGGCTTGCTCCCAATGACTTGCCTCGTCTGCGTTCCTCTATAATGCTGGACCACTTGCGTTATATAGGTGGCATCACCCACAGTGGGCAGGGCCTTCCCACATCAATCATTAATCTAGCTGCAATTAACTGTTAAAACACATGAGCCTAGAGGGAGCATTTTATGTTCAAGCCACAACACTGATGAACACCAGCACACAGTACACCTGTGATCAGTGTTTACAACAACCGTTCCTAGACCTGCAGGATCATTCTTTACCATTCTGTGGGGCACAGATCTCTTTGAGAATCTAATGGAAGCTTTAGACACCGAGTATGGAAGACTACAATTGGGGGGAGAGCACAGACCTAAAAGAGCATTTGTTTATAACTTCAGGGTCTTGCAGGTCTCCTAAACACCAGCTACGCACCCCAGCTGCCAAACCTCAAATACAAAATGGAACTCAGGAAGAAATTCAATTCACATCTTGACAGAATTTCTTGGGGTGAAAAAACGCCAAATATTGTACATGTAATCATAGGAAGGATCTGTCCCCCGTGTCACTGAAGGACAGTGGTGTCCTGTTTTGACAATTCCATTTAAGTGCAGGCTTTAGTCAGGATGCAATTCGGACAGAAACAGAAGCTTAGAAGAACACTCCAGGAAGAAAATGGTTTGCTCATGCTAATTTTTTAGAAATCAGAATGTGTTTTAGAAGAAGATAAGTCACCTTGGTTTTGTTGGAGGGAAGATTTCTTCGATAGGGAAGGGTGGTCAAGGAGGAGCGGTCGTAAATACGCTGGTCTGAAATAGTCAAGGCAGAACTCTGTGCTGGGTTGCAAAGAACCAAGTTGCTCATAAAATCGGAGGCGAGACTGAATTGGAGCCAGAAGTGGGGCAGCTCCCAGGTTCTGGGGTGGGGACTCACTGAAGCCAGCTCACAGCCCTGCTGCCTGGGTGAACCAGCCATGGCTTCTGCTCTTGGGGTTGCAGGATTTGGAAACTAGGGAAGGGATGGTCTGACTGGTTTAGCCAGGAATCACTGGAGGGCGGGGCTCTTTCTTGAACACAGGAGATGGGGAAAAGTGCTATGCCCTCTGGCCACAGAGGCACTGTCACCCAAAGAGAGGGTGGTCAACATAGGAAGGTCAAAATATCAGATCTGGTCTGGGGGATGGCTCAGTTGGCAAAGTGCTTGTCGTATGAGTCTGAGGGCCTGATTCAATGCCCAGAACTCATGTAAAAATAGCCAGGCCAGGTAGCATCTTTTCACTTTGAAGCAGAGAAAGCAGATCCTTGCAGCTCACTGGACAGCCAGCCTAGCTTACAAGGCAAGTTCCAGGCCAATGTGATCCTGTCCCCCAAACAAGGTGTAGAGTACCTGTGAAACAACACCCATGACTGTCCTCTGGCCCCTACACATACCACACATGTACCCTCGGACATGTGCACCTCCCTATGTACGCCCCCCCACCCCCACACGCAGCCTCCAAATACTTAGATGTGTCTTTTTATTTACAGGTTAGCTTTGTAAATTTGAACTGTCCATCTTATGAACGGGAGGAGGAGGAAGAGGAGGGCTAGGCAAGCCTCACTGAGAGGGCTGGAGACAGGCTACCCAATGGACCCTGTCCAAAACAAATATAAAAATTAAAAAAAAAAAAAAAGAAAATTCAAGACACCCTTTCTTGAAGCCCTTGGTCTTTGCTATTTTTTCTCTCTCAAAGTTATATGAAAAAGGTCATTAACTGGTTCTCTATGGGTGATATCCCTTAATGACAGATACCGTTAAGAGTACACACAGCGCCAGGGCTCCCTTGCAGCTCTGATGGTTCATATCCAGATGGTGCTGAAGATTACAGAATGGCTGGTGCCTGATCGTTTTAACCTCACAGAAAGCTGAGCTTGCCACTCAGTTACAACCATCTATCAACAGAACGGAGACTTTCGCACGAGGACAACTGTGTTTGGTTGATGTGGTGGTGCACACCTGTAATCCTAGCACTCAGGAGGTGGAGACAGGACTGTGAATTCACAGCCAGTCTATGTAGGGAGATGCGTATTTTCTCTGTGTGTGAGCATGTGTATGTGTGCGTGTGTGTGTGTGCGCGTGCACACATGCTGAATGAATGGAGGAGTGAATGAGTGGATGAGTGAATGAATGGATGAATGAATGAATGGATGAGTGAATGATGAATGGATGAGTGAATGAATGGATGAATGAATGAGTGGATGAGTGAATGAATGGATGAATGAATGAGTGGATGAGTGAATGATGAATGGATGAGTGAGTGAATAGATGAGTGAATGAATGGGTGAGTGAAGTTTATGCTTTCCTATACTACAAGTATCTCTGTCATGTCTCTTGCTGTATGCTTCTTTCTGTCCCTTGCTCTGATTTTGTTTCTCTTCCATTTATGTCACTCTGTTTTCTCGATTCTACCCATTCAACCAACTCACACTTCTGAGGCCTTGTACTGAGACAACGAAACCAAAAGCATAAACCAGGCCTTTCTCATATGGACTGGACCTCCTCACAATATTCATTCTTGTCTCTTGTGCTTTACATAAATCAGGACTCATGAGCTTCCCGGTTCACCAGTGTCCAGAACAGCCCCTAACGTGAAGTAATGGAGCTGATCACCCTCACAGCACTCAGTACTTCCTGAGGCTCGGTGCTTTGTTGTGGTGTTCATTCATTCAATGTAGCCAAATAGCCAAGGGGTCCAAGCTCTGGGGGTCCTGGGAAGGATGAGAGTAAGGACCTAAAATAAGGCCATTAAAGAGTGTGTGTGACCATGGGCCCTGCTATCTGTGTCCTCTGGAGAGCCTCCTGACTCCCTAGTATCACACACTCAACGCCTGGTCTGGCTATGTACATCCCATGAGCAGGCTGGCTCTTCTCTCCCCCTTAGAGAACTATATATACTTCTGCTCTGGAGGGATGCTCTGCCTGCTCTGGTGGGATGCTCTGCAGGCTCTGGTGGGATGCTCTGCCTGCTCTGGTGGGATGCTC